GGGCCGGGCCCCGGAGGAGCGGCGCCCCATGCCGGATATGTCCCCCGCATTGCGTTCTACGCTGGCCTGCGGAGGCCTCATGAAGGCTATGAGGTGCTGCGCTTCGACGACGTGGTGACCAATGTGGGCAACGCTTATGAGGCGGCCAGTGGCAAGTTCACCTGCCCCATGCCAGGCGTCTACTTCTTCGCCTACCACGTGCTGATGCGCGGTGGTGATGGTACCAGCATGTGGGCCGACCTGATGAAGAACGGACAGGTGAGAGGCCCCTGCCCCACCCAGTCCCAGATCCAACCTCAGGGGCTTTCCATGTCACCCAGTGCTGCTCTCACAACTGGAGCCCATTCCCGAAACAGCATCCCTGAATTCGGGAATTCCAGTGTCAAAAGCCTCAGTGATTGCTTCCTTAAGCCCAAGAGGAATGGAGGGCCAGGAAGAGGACATGGCCTAAACAGGTTCAAGGTCTCAGGGAGTGGTGTCAGCCTTGGAATTCAGGACTCAATGGCTCTAGCTGTGTCCTCAAACCTGCCTGCTAGACCTCTTTGATCTCTGCCTTACCCCTTTTCTCTTCTCTGGCCCGTGGGTAGCCAGCCTAGCTTTGAGTAGGCTCTGACTGAACTATAATGTCTTCTGCCTCAAGGGCAGTGAGGAGCCAGCCACGACTGGACTCTGGAGTGTGGCCACTCAGCTTAGATTTTAAGGGAAAGATAAAAAGGAAACATTTACTCTCTCCCCAGGCAGCTGCCCTATTGCTTGCCCCAGGGTCTAGGGTCAAACCCAGAACCAGACTGAGTTCATAGTGGGGGTGGGGGTGTGGAAATGGACGGCAGCTCAGGGGGCAGCCAGGGGGCTGGAAAGCAGGCAGAGTTGTAGCCTGGGACACTGGTCTGGCCCTGCAGGCCTCTCATACTCCCTTACAACCTTCTCAGCCTCCGGAAGCCCTGGCTCCCTGCTGCTACCCGGACTGGGAGACCCTGAAACAGCCCCAAGACTGCAGGCTTAGAAGGGGGGCTGCTTGGCAAGGCAAGCCACAGGGGAGGTGGGGCTAAGCGGTGACCTCAGTCTGTTCTGAGGGGTGGGGTGGTGGTGACCCAGGCACATCAGACCTGCTTGTTGGTGCTCTGTGTGGATCAGGCTGTGGGCCTTAGCGCCCTCCCCACCACCAGACCTGCAGAGACGCCTGTGGGTGGGTGGGGCTTCTCCTGGGCAGGACAGCCCAAAACCCTGAGGGAAAGAGGATGAGCATGTATGGGTGGATGACGCTGAGATGGTGTCTCTCTGAGCATGTCTATCGTGTCTGTGGGTGCCAGGGTGAAGATAAGCATGGGGGGAGGGGGTATATCTGCATGTGGTACAGAGTAGGTTTGTGCTCCCTGCAGGGTAGAGGGGGTGGTGGGGTGGTGGAGAGAGACTGTCAATAGAGTGAGTTTCTGAGGGTGGGGTCACCAGGATTCCACTCTGTATTCCACAGCACCTGGCGCTGCGGCCTTGGGGACGGTAAATAGTGATTAGAATAATGCTGAATAATTAATAAGCTAATAACCAGCCCCGGGGGATGGGAAGCAGGGGGGGGGCTGAAGAGGGGGCTGGCAGCCCGAAGGGAGCAGAGCCAGGCCAGAGGGGGAAGAGTGGCTCCCCAGAGAGGCAGAAGGCGGTGACCACCACGTGGAGACCTCAGCTGACACCCAGAGGGGAAATGGGTGCCCCAGAGGCTAGAGAGCTTAGCGCACGTTCCTTGGCCCGCCACCTCACTCCCACACAGACACGCGACACACCTGTGTCCCTGCACGGAGGAACACAAGTGTAGGATGCCCAGGGAGGTCAGGTCAGAGCGATGATGGGGTCAGAAATTCTACAGGTGAATTTTATTGAAAAAACAGAGCCCAATAATAACCCGTTGCCGTCCAGTCGACCAGACCGGACAGAGCAGCACTGCTCCCGAGAGTTTCCAAACTGCGATCTTAGTGGGAGTAGAATTCCACCTCTTGCCCCAAGGCAGAGCAGGCTGCCAGGCTCCAAGGGCCAAGCTTCCTGTTAGTAGTGGACGGAGGACAGTACTTTCTCTCTGCTATCCAGATTCCGACCCGTAGGGACTCTAAGGGCAGAGTAGAACTGGCCCTGTGAATTTCTGAGACCGCAACTCTTCGCAG